TATCTAAGGTGTTAATACTATTGCAATGCAGCATTGACAATCAAACAGTGAAGAAGCAAGTTTCAATTGTTCATTAAAAAATACAGATGAAAGATTTCAGTTGATAGCTTCACAACTCTGGTGCACTTCATTCATACAGATTCAAAACAAATGTTTGTCGGAGTTTAAAACAATCCCAGATCCTTATCGTTGTTTGCTTCTCAATCACTTCCTCCTTGTGCTACAACCATATCAGATTCTGCTCACATCCAACATTCCCAAGACCTACTCAGAGATCCAACCCTGCCTACGTCAAATTAGCCTAGGCTCTTTCCATTCCCCATTTGGCCTTGTATTTGATTTATGTCCACAACATCCAGAACAAAAGCATAAAACTTAAACACCTTCATGCTGTATTTTTTTTCTTGCTTCAATTGCCCAAAGATTATTAACATTCTCCTATGCCTTTTTGCATAAACTTAGCACACTGGAAAATTACAGATTTGATATCAAATTCATATACATTATAGTATTGAACTTGATAGCAGATTATTTGAAAAATAAAAAATGCATGTCAATTTCAAAATATAAATCAACATCAACACTACCCTTTACTTCTCAGAAAGACAGCTCGATAGCACTAAAAACCCTGGAAAGGATTCAAAAATATGAAAACCACAAGAAGGTAATGATAATCATAGTGAACACCAAAGTTTTCGATAATCAAAACACGAGGTGAATATAAGAAACGAATTTGAATAGCTTTCTCTAAACATCTTTTCTTATCCAATAGCACAAAAATAATGTAAGGATTACCTCTAACTAGTTACATTTTTTCTCTCTCTCTTAAATTATCTTATGAATTCTCTAGCAACTTCTGCATTGAATTTCATTTCCACCAAGCATCGCAATCTCTAGAATTTCTATACACACAATGCAGGTGTTAAAAAATCATCATGTGAGATATATGTGTAAATATGAAAAACAAATAACACGGCAAGAATGCATAATGTACACATATATATGGATCGTGTGAATTATATAGACAATAACATGATTTAACTAACTAAAGATACACTTTTCCATTACGAATAGTAATTAGTGATATTCAATATGTTAGTGGACAGGGCAGTAATTCCAAGACAGATGAATAGAGACTTGCACACATTACCAGGAAATGAGCTTCTTGGTTTCGCATATGGCTGCAGAGGTTCTAGAGCCTTCACCTTGCCCCACAGCTTCCTAGATCCAGCACCCTTCAGCAATATTCAAACATATTATTCATGCACTGACAAGCTAAATCAAACCTCACACACTGCACAATCTATGCATATAGTTATGTAAGTAAATTTTGAGATGGGAAGCTAACATGCATAATTCTGTTTAGCGCTTTTCTTATACCTTTACGCCAGCACTGTTTGCATGTTGCAAGTCTTCACTGAAAGCCTTGATTGCACTGTACTGTACTAGATCAGCGCTTGACTTGGCAAGAAATAAATGCACCAACAGAGACATAAATGACAACACTAGTCCTCCAAGGGCTGCCCATTTTATTTTCGATTTCATTCTAATATCTCTGTTCCAGAAAAATGCAACTTATCACTTGCTGACCTAAAAATATGATCCAATTAGTATCAGCACATAAACTCAAATCCTAAAAAAGAAATACAAAAATGCAACAGAAGAAAGATGCCAATAATATATCCCTTCAATCACTGTAATTAATTATATGCAATGATATACAATAAATGTCAACCAGAATAATTACAACTAATAAAGAAGCACACAGACGATTGAACACCGCAATGCAAATTGAGTAATAAAGAGAAGATATTATTACCAGTGAATTCGAAACAAGGGGTCAGTGGCATCATAAGTTAGGCCACAAAATTGATGAAAATTACTGTTACATCTAAATAATAAACGCGAAACTGGGCTTCTGTTAAATCACAAAACCCTTTTGTGTTTTTATTGGATCGAGGTCAAAATCTGGCTTTGAGTAAACAAATAAATTACTATTAAAAAATAATAAGGTAAATCTATACACGAAGGAGCTGTTGAAGAGTGAGAGCGGGGAACATGGAGAAACTGAATTGAACAGAGGAACGAAAGCCGTAAGGGGAAGAAATCCGAAATGGCAGATTTAAAAGAGAATGAAACTTCAGTCGGTCATGTTCCGATTTTTCCAGTCTAAATTTTCATTTTGGTATCTTAATTTTCATTTATCTCAAATTAAGGATTCGAATTATCGAAAATTGGTCTGTTTATATTCCCATTGGCAA